AAACCAGCATTCACAAGTATCTGGAGATGGAGCATGTTCACCATAAGCTTCCCGAAGTATACGATAACTTTCAGCAGCACTTTTCTTCAAAATAATGAATTAAAACTTTCCACAAATGCTCTTTTTTTGCACGAAATTCGACCTTTTTAAGCATAAAAATATCTATGATGTTAACACCTTAAGCAATCAGAAATTATATATGTACCCCTATGTTCATAGCAGCACAATTTAAAATAGCTAAGATGTGGAAACAGCCTATGGTAAGTGCCCATCAGCAGATGAGTGGATTAGAAAACTGTGGTATATCTACCGAATGGAATACTATACTGCTATAAAAAAGAAGGAACTTTTACCATTTGCAACAGCATGGATGAAACTAGAGAGCATTATGCTAAGCGAAATAGGGTGGTGAAGGCCTGGGGCAAGGGATGGGCAGACTAGAAGGGGTTAAGGGGGAGGAAGGGTGCATATATAATACTTTCAACAATAAAGACTTAATTAAAAAATAAATAAGTAAATATTACACTTCTACAACTATAGTCTACTAGGTGTACCAGTTAATGCGGATTTTTTTTTCAATAGATGGAGTTACACATATGTTGATAAATATGTGATTTGATATATATGCTATTTTGTTGTATTGACATCAAGTTTCAAAACTTCATATATCAAATTTGCTTAAGGTGTTAACATCATAGATATTTTTATGCTTAAAAAGGTCGAATTTCGTGCAAAAAAAGAGCATTTGTGGAAAGTTTTAATTCATTATTTTGAAGAAAAGTGCTGCTGAAAGTTATCGTATACTTCGGGAAGCTTATGGTGAACATGCTCCATCTCCAGATACTTGTGAATGCTGGTTTAAATGCTTTAAAAGTGATGATTTTGATGTGAAAGACAAAGAAAGTCCAGGTCAACTGAAAAAATCTGAAGACCAACAATTACAAGCATTATTGGATGAAGATGCATGTCAAACTCAAAAATAACTTGCAGAAAGATTAAATGTTGCTCAGCAAACAATTTCCGATCATTTACAAGCAATGCGAAAGATTTTAAAGGAAGGAAAATGGGTGCCACATCAACCAAACGAAAGACAAACGGAAAACTGAAAAGTCATCAGTAAAATGTTGCTTCGACAACACGAAAGAAAGTCTTTTTTGCATCGAATTGTGACTAATGATGAAAAGTGGATTTATTTTGAGAATCCCAAATGCACAAAATCATGGGTTGATCCAGGTCAACCATCAACATCGACTGCAAGACCAAACTGCTTTGGAAAGAAGAAAATGCTCTGCGTTTGGTGGGATCAGGTAGGTGGGGTATATTATGAGCTTCTAAAACCAGGTGAAACTATTAATACTGACCGCTACTGACAACAAATTATCAATTTGAATCACGCTTTGATCGTGAAATGACCAGAATGGGCCAGAAGACACAGCAAAGTAATTTTGCTTCATGATGATGCACCATCACACACTTCAAAACAGTTAAAGACATATTCAAACATCTTGCCTGGGAAGTATTAACCCACCAGGTGTATTCACCAGACCTTGCTCCTTCAGATTACCACTTGTTCTGATCGATGGCACACACACTTTCTGAGCAGCACTTCAAAACGTACAAAGAAGTGGAAAATTGGGTCTCTGAATGGTTTGCCTCAAAACAAGAAAAGTTCTATTGGGACAGTATCCACAAATTACCTAAAGATGGAAGAAATGTGTAGCTAGCGATGGACATTACTTTGAATGAAGCATTTTTGATGTTTCTCTTGAAATTACCGTGTTTTCTTTGATTACAAAATCCGCATTATTAACTGGTACACCTAGTACATATTTAAAGCCAAGAGTCATCGCTCATAAACAGTGTTTGGCGAATGATTAGCATATGATTATACCGCATCTGGTGGTAACTGGTTCTGTTGTTGTTTGGCGTGACTTTCTGCAGTAGTTTTAACATGTGCCAGCTGATGTTCCAGGTGTGCTAAGCAACATCCCAGCTGTGTGCATTTATTAACTTGTGGTAACTGGTGAATGCATGCATTTACTATTACCTATTCAGTATAAATTTAAAATCACAGTAATACATATAGATAACTTTTCTATGAAATTAAACTTTTCATATACTTCATTTTAATTACCCAAATGTGCCTTTACAAGTAAAAACAGGTAAACTAATTTGTTAAATTTTTAACATATGCATTCAGAAAATCTACTTAATTATATAATGGACTTTTGGCTTTAATGGCCACCCCTTTGTCCAAATTAGTCCATTATATCCAGGTTTTACTGTACTGTATAATTCTTTTCATATTACACTCTGAAAGTAAAAAATTATTGATAGTAAACATATTAGTATTTACCTGGGGTTAGGTAGTGGGTCTGGGTAGGTAGGAAGATGGCTGTGGCTAAAAAAGGATATCACTAGGGATCCTTATTGTCATGATCACAAGAATTTACACATGTGATAAAACAGCATACACACATTATACTAAAGTCAAATTCCTGGTTTTACTATCTGTAATAATAAAAGCGTAATATGCTAATTAAACTGGACAGCCGAAAGACCTTCCAGACGACCTTCCGGACGAAGCAGGGGCTGCGAGGGCCAAGGGCAGCTGTGGCGGCTACGAGGGACGAGCCCCTTGAATGAATTTCGTGCATTGGGCCTCTAGTTTTAATATAATTTGGTTTTACATCTCTAGGTAGAGGGATTATATTAATTGTACGTTTCTTTTTAATATTTTCCAAATTATTAATATGTATTATTAGACTGGGGCTACAAAAGTATTTCACATGGGAAAATAATTTATAAAAATATATTTACAAAAATAATCACAAGTATAAAATAAATGTAATTTAGAAAACCAAGGATGAAGTTTTATTTTATAACTAAGACACTAACACAGATAAAAGGATATGAAAAACTGATTAAAATAATAGAGGAAAATAATAACTGTCATGGTAAAGATTTGCATATATTGCAAATCACTGTAAAAGGAAAAAAACCCTTTTCTGAGCAACTTTTCAAGTGTAAATTTGATATTACAGTAATATTGGACAAGTTTCCTTACTCTCCCTGTTGGCATCAAACTCCCACTTATGTTTTACCACAGTTTTGCCATCTTTTAGTAAATAGTAACTCTATACTTGAAAACAGTCAAGTTTTCCTTGATTACGCCAAACCAGATTAGTCTTCTGCTTCTCATAATTCTTATAAGTTTGAATAAAACTTAATATAAATTTATAGAATTAAAAATAATAATAGCTAATGATATTGCTATGTTTCCCTCCTATGAATCTCTAGAGTCCACTGTTTGTTGGTACCTCTCCTGTGGTACTTTCATATTCTGCCTTTTAGAGCTACTTTTGTGTTTGTCTTATCTGTCCCATTAGATTGTGAGTCCTCTAAGGTCAAGGCCTAGTCCACATTCATCTTTACTTATCCTGAAATGTACACTTCACTCAGTTAATACTGTCTTGTTCCAGAAGGTGTGTAATAAGATTATGAACACTTCAAGTCAGGCATGTCAACCTCTGCTTCTTCATAATCTTTACAAGTACACAGTTTAGGTCTAGGCACAGTGACGTCTGAGGTATACTTGTTAATTTCTATTTATTGAAGCATCTTTAAGAAATATGTTGCAGAAGGCATAATATCTGACAGTGCTGGAGAAATAAATTTTGATAGATATAAAAAAAAGAACAGATAAAGTAGTCTCTAACTTTAGTCTCATTAAACAGAAATAAATTGAGAATTTATATACATGGTAGAAGTTCCATAATGGGATTAAGAATTATGCCAGAACCGGTTTGGCTCAGTGGATAGAGCATCGGCCTGCGGACTCAAGGGTCCCGGGTTCGATTCCGGTCAAGGGCATGTACCTTGGTTGCGGGCACATCCTCAGTGGGGGGTGTGCAGGAGGCAGCTGATCGATGTTTCTCTCTCATTGATGTTTCTGGCTCTCTATCCCTCTCCCTTCCTCTCTGTAAAAAATCAATAAAATATATTGAAAAAAAAAAGAATTATAAGGAAAATCCCACTGGCGTGACTCAGTGGTTGAGTGTCGACCTATGAACCAGGAGGCCATGGTTCAATTCCAGGTCAGGGAATATGCCCGGGTTGAGGGCTCGATCCCTAGTATGGGGAGTGCAGGAGGCAGCCAATTAATGATTCTCTTTCATTATTATTTATTATTATTTTTTTA